AGTTTCTACTGGTTATATTCAGGGGTATATTCACTTGTCCACTATATGGCACTTATATTGAATCATTACATTTGGGCCCTGCTTGCATTTGCATTTGCAAATAATGTATTTGCATGTATATACTCCCACGCTTGAACATCTCGTACACAGTGAGTAACCTAATAACCTTGTCATGGCCGGTGGTACTGTCTACACATGAACCAACACTATCATAGCCAAGCAGAAAACTAGCATGGCTAGTCATTCACACAGACAGAAATAATGTTAACCCACTGCAATATTTTTTGGCACACACTGTAACACAGTGTGCTTATGGTACTTATAAAGCATATATATTTATATATATATATGTAACTACTTCATTTACGTCATTTAATTTTAGTGGAAACTAAACTGTCTAGCTACCAAGTTTCATTAGCATGCAACAATGATAGCTGCTATACTACTCCTGAACAAGCAAATTAATGCCTTTGCTAAGTAAATATTGGTATTTACTTTGTTCGTATATTAGTATAACATTGGCATATTTCATTACACTACAAGAAGACACACCACCAGATCATAAATTGAACGTTAGCTAACTATGTAGTAGGGGACTTAAACATTCTGAACCATTAACCTTTGCTGACCTATTAATGATAGTTTGCCACTTACCAGAGATTGTTGTTGAGGAAGGAGACAAGGTGCGAGAAGGATCAAATATTAAAACTATATCTAATAGTGGAATCTTGGCCCTGTACAATTCCTTCTCTTTTCTCTCTCTTCGCTTTCAGGCTTCACGTTTATGTTTATAATCAAAAAGGCATTCTGATATGTTTGCTAAGTAGGCTTCTGCACTGAACCAAATAACTTAAGCAAATAAGAACAGTGATGCAACCGGACCAGCCATTACTAACTTCTAAATCACATGATGAAATTACACATATCCTATTGGATCTCTATATAACTGAGAAAACCATATATCAACGTTAACACAAAATCATGCAATATTTCTTAAGGGGAAAAAGTCTCGTCTAAACGTAAAGTTGTGACGGATTAGGCATAATGGAATATATTTTTTTTAAATCATGTAGTATATTTATTTGGCTTTCATTGTCCAATTCTACAATGTGAAAGGAAGCACTGGAGTGGTTAAATGGTGTAATGTAAGTGTTGGATAATGTCATTATTCACGCTTCCACAGCTAGCAGTAAGCAATTAGCCAGACAGTGGTGCCAGCTGTTTCTAACAGCAAACCTAAAATTTGTTAATAGGCACCTTTGCCTTTATTAACTGTGCAAGTGTTTGGTAAAGCAACAACTGCTAGCTTGTTTACACAACTGACACTGAGTGTTAATACACTAACAGGCCATGCTGACTATTAGTCCACACTGATTACAGGCTTCCATACGATACGAAACCATTTCGATTCTTAAGGCAACCACCTGATATTTCACAATACCACTGAATCTTCTACTGTATGACATGAAATGATACAATACAATTAGCCTCCAATCAATATGTGAGCAACTTCGTTTTGGGTCTGCTGTTAATACACAAATGATGACGTAGAGAAGGAGTATTTGAAGTAGGAGTGTCGCGGGCAAATCACCTTGCTAGTCTGTTGGTTTTAAAATATGAATTCATTTTGAATAGCTGTCTATTACAATTGGTGTATAAGTGTAAGTATAAGTGTTTAGCACATTTGCCTCACAGCTCCAGCCCAGTTAGCACATTTGGGCCGATTACGATAGAAATGCACCACTGTAAGCTTAATGCTGGCATCTGCAAAAAGATAATTGGACAGAGCCCTGCCAACTGTTCACACCATTTTTAGCTGACATACGGTTTTTCCTATGTGGGCCAGTTTCGGCTGAAAGCAGGTGTACTTGCGGCAGGTCCATACTCAATGTAGCTGTGTGTATCTAATTTCGACCCGAAATTAGATAGTTTGTTATGTCACAGTCGGACCACATCTAGAATTAAGGAACTCCGCCAGATGAAAAAAAACATTTGCCGTCTTCCAAACAGTTCCACCTTCGACTCCTCAATCCACAGAACATTCTTCCAAAAGGTTTGAGGATCATCAAGGTGTGTTTTGGCAAAATTCAGACGAGCCTTGATGTTCTTCTGGGTTTGCAGTGGTTTTCACCTCCCCACTCTTCCATGGTTAGCATTTTCCCCCCAGTGTCTTTCTGATAGTGCAGTCATGAACAGTGATCTTTATTGATGAAAGAGAGGTCTGTAGGTCCTTTGATGTTGTCCTTGACTGTTTTGTGACTTCCTGGATGAATCTTTGCTGTTCTCTTGGGAGGAATTTTGGAAGATTAGCGACGTCTGGGAAGGTTCACTACTGTGCCGAGTTTTTCCATTTGCAGATAATGGTCCTCACTGTGGTTGTTTGGAGTCTCAGAGCCTTTGAAATAGCTTTATAACCCTTCCCAGACTGATGTATTTCAATCACCTTCTTCCTCATCATTTCTAGAATTTCTTTCAATTGTGGCATAGTGTGTTACTGGTTAAGACCTTTCAAACAACTTCATGCTGTTGAAAAAGTTCCATTTAAGTGTTGATTTGATTGAACAGGGTTTGCAGTAATCAAGTTGTATCTAATCCAGCTGAAGCCCATTATGAATGCAGTTTCATAGATGTGGGAATTAGTAACTATGGGGGAAAATACATTTTCACACAGGCCCAGTTGGTATTGGAGAACTTTTTTGCTTCAATAAATTACTTTTATCATTTAAAAAGTGTATTTTGTGTTAACTCAGGTTGGCTTTGTTTTATCTTAGATTTTAATTTCTGAAACAAATGAGTGCGAGATACACACAAAAACAGAAGAAATCAAGCAAATACTTCTTCCACAGCACTGTATAGCCTTAATCTTTACTGTAACTTATTCAAATGTCCTTCAGTAGAATTACTTCAGACTAGAGTTGTTATTGCAATTTCTAACTCCGACAACTTTGACATATTGGTGGCCAACATTTACCTAACAAAAGCCAATAAAAACGAAATCCAAGAGGTCCAACACTAATATCATACCGATTGATGCACCGATGTCTACTGTGTTCTTCAAAAATCAAGTAAGTCCAAGATTTCAACTACAGACTATTTATTTGACAGACAAATCAAAAAATATATTTGGCATTTCAAAAGAAACCTTAAAAGGAAAGCAATACACAAGAATGAAACATGTCATCAAATGTCTGTACTTTCATGCAGTGGTAATGACATTTTAAAGATGCCACTGGGGGGGAAAAAAAAAAACAAACAAAAAAAAAAACTGCATTTTCACAACTCATTGTGTATCTTTATATTACATAAAAAAAATAATACCAAAAACATTCCTGGAGAAACAGCAGGCAATGTTGATCAAAAATGCTTTATACAGATAAAAATAATACAAAAAAGATGATCTTTGTCAAAAAATCGACAGGAAAAAAAAATAAAGCATAAAATAATTCTTTGTACAAATACCACATAACATTGATAGTTGAGTAACATCATATATAGACTTGATTTGACTTTGTGACGTAGAACATGACGAGGAAGGTGTACTCCTGATGTGGAATCAGAAATAAGAAACATAGGACATAAGGATAAGCTACAGCACTGTGTTTTACAAAATGTACAAAACATTTGCCTCTAACTTGGTCCAACATAATACTATTTTCTTTGAATTTTTTTACTTATTATTATTTTTATTTTTTACAGTATGCGACAGTACAAAACATCTTGTGCCTAGAAGTGTTGAGGTGAAGTGAAAGTGACTCTGTGTCGGCCCCGTAGTCAAGTCACTTCAGTCATGGATGCTGAATGGTTCTGAAAGAAAAAAAAAAAAGATAAAGAAAAGAAAATGATAGAGTGAGACACATCAAGGAAAAAGTTTCATTTGGTGTAGAACATTCGACTAAATGTCTCTTACGTTCTCCCTCTATCCTTGATAAAACCTCAATCAGAAGAAAAGGAATATGTAATGAGAAGAGAAAGCGATATGTCGTCGTCTGCGTCCCCATTTCTTCTTGAATCACACATTTCATCCATCTTGCTTGTCCTGATAAGAGCCACTGACAGCATGTTGGACCGTCCCCCACAGTGCTTACCGCACATGTCCAATTTCATTTCACCGGGCATTTCCCGTAACGACTGGTCCCAAAGTGCGCAAGGATGATGAGCTTGTGTCCTTCAGCATTTGACAAAAGTGTGAAGAAATCTCACTTTGTGTCAGAACAGCATGGCTGTTTTGCTCGCTCGCACTCGGCACAGCGATCTGCTCGGATTTCCTTTACTGCATCAATTCAGGGAAGAAGGATTGCATTTCCTGCTTGTAGATCATAAAAATGGCCCCGTCAGTGTTGTAAACTGCTGTAGTTTAGCAATTTACCAGATGCACACTGGGGCAGATGCGCTTTACAGCAACATGACTCCTATCATATATTGTGATTTAAACCACTACGCTACTGAACTCTTGATTCTGATTGGTCAGAAGGTATTGACTAATATTCTATTACAGCTTGGACAGTGGTTCTGGCTGTAAGGTTAATGTCCTCATTCTGATATATTATTGTTTCCATAGTAGGAGCATCCTCACAGATTTGTATGGCTGACACGCCACATAAACGGATTAAAAACATCTGTAATTGTTGAAATGGTGAAGTTTTCTGTGAGATGTTAATTTAATGAAAAATCCACCATACAAGTCCCTGAGTAAACCACTACTATAAAAAATAAATAAACAATAGCTACAGTTTTACAGCCATAGCTACTGTCTGACCTGCTATTATAGAAAATTGATCAACACCATCTGACCAATCAGAATCAAGCACTTTACAGTATTGTGGCATGTCTCGAAATGTCTAATTTCTTACACAATCCAAATATTATATATCTACATCACTCATCCCACCTACAGCAGATGCTGAGACATAAGCAGCACATCATTATTTGTTGTGCATTTCGCAATATCCTACTCATAATACGGTCATTGTAATATTAATGTTTTTATGATAGACGTGGTGGGCACGGTGACGTAGTGGTTAGCATGTTTGCCTCGCACCTCCTGAAGTCAGGGGTTCTAATCCAGCCTCTGTCCTGTGTGAACAGAGTTTGCATGTTCCCCTCGTGCTTCGGGGGTTTCCTCCGGGTACTCTGGTTTCCTCTCCCAGTCCAAAGACATGTGTTATAGGCTGATATGCATTCACTGACGATTTGGAAATGCTAATGCGATTGAGCGCTGTGATGGGACGACACCCCCTCCAGGGTGCAGAGTTCCTGGAGATGGGCTCCAGGCTCCCTGTGACCCTATGTGGGATAAGTGGTATGGGAATTTGATGAATGGAATGATGGATGGATTGGATGATGGATGTGATATCCCAGGAGTTAAGGGAAGCTTCGTGCCAAGAATCCTATAAAATCCCATAACGGTGAACATACGAAATCTACTTGAGTGAAAAACACAAGTGAATTACAAAATGTTCTAATTAAATGTTGCTCTGTGTCTTCTTAAGTGTGCATACAGCAATATATTAACCAAGTCTGACAGGGATTAATAGCAGCAGTCAGCTTAGGAAAAAATACAGTCCTGTAATAAACCTGAATAAATAAATAAATAAATAAATAAATAAATAAAAAACCCACCTAAACTACACCATAACAAATAGCAGCCCAGAGTGCTGTTTAACAGGTAGGATAAGCGTCACGTGAAATAAAATACATTTTACATAATATATATCTTGACAGAGAGCCAAATATCGATTTACTTTCACGCTAGCATGAATTTAGCCAGATGAATCTTAGAGCCAATTATTGCATATAAATCCTTCATAACATTGATATATGAAATATAACCTCGTAATGAGCATGTCAAAAACGCCTCCGCCACGCTCCATACTGAGCCGGCGTATCCATCATGAATCATGCATAGAAGATGAATGTGGAGGAATCAACACAAGGTTCACCCATGCAGGAATAGATAAGACAAATGTTTGTATTGTTACAAACATCAATCACACCTCTATTCGTATGAAGATGGTGATGGCGCAAAGGCTCTACCTGTGCACTGAGGGTCTCCAGTGGGCTCTCCACACGGGGGAACGTCATGAGCGGGAGGCCACGGTAATCCTCCGTCTTCCGTTTGGTAGGAGTAGAGTGAACACCTTTAAAGTTATTTACCACGCACAGTCCCTGCAATGCAAAACATTGATTGTTTGAACCTGATGGCTTATTCATATTTAGCTATTTGGGACATTTTTTTTTCCAACAACAATGATAAATGACTATTCTCAGTCATGGCATGTGCAGCATTATAGTATAAGCGGATACATAAAACACATGAAAAGTTCATCAGGACTGTTTGTATTACACAAATCATCAGCCAGCCATGCAGAATTGTGAAAAGGCTAGTCATGAATTAAGTGTGCACCATCCGACTGACCAAAAACAGAGCGATGGAGGCTCCCAGGATGAAGCCAGCAACCACATCCGAGCAGTGATTACGGTATTCTGACACCCGCTTCAGTCCGGTGAGGAACGCAGCACACAATGTCCCTAAACACAGCACAGGCTTTGCCAGACGACTGCTCTTCGTCCTGATCGTGCTCGTGATGTACATCTGAAACACACGTTCACGTACAGAAACACGGACACGAAGACACATGCACCATGGAGGATTCTCTCGCTATGTAAATGCATACAGCCTGAAGAGATTATGTTCAATTATGTGAGAGCAAATAAAACGAATTTGTATTTCCAGATGGAGATGCACAGCACAGCATTTTAATCCAGGTCTTGCAGAGTCATTTCTTCTATGAATTGTAAACTAAGACTGCTATGGATTTCCACCCCATACGGAAATCTGATATATGAACATATATGCCCGTATATGCGAGAAAGGTTTTCATACATGTTACAGGTCCTTTGATGTTGTCCTTGGTTCTTATGGGACTTCCTGGATGATCTTGGAGGTGGTACACTACAAATGATGTTGTCAAGCATCCCAGACCACCTATGGATGTGGTTTGTGAGATCTTCAAGATGCACTGAACCTTGTTTATACCTGTACTTGGTGCTGTGCTCTTACAGATGACCCAGGAAGCATCTTAATGCCATGTGTATACAGGGCCTTGGAGCACTCTGCAGGTTGGGCTAAAGACGCAATTATCATCAGGTCTTGTTTTTCAACATGGTGTTAGGTGTTTAAAGGGTCTTATAGTAATAAAGATTTGTATGAAATTTATGAAAGTAAGACAACACAAACGACAAAGTAGTTATTGCATAACAAAATTAACTGCAAATACCCCTGTATTGATTAATTTATGGGCAAGCACAATGAGCTCAGTGTGTCTGTCTTTTCTCTTTATAGATGGCGTTATTAAACGATTCCCTGCAACCACCCATGGTCAACTTGGTGTAGAAATGAATTGCAAAACAATAGTAAACTGTTGATTAAAAACTGATTGTTTTTGAATCCAGTATCCAGTGTGCCTGTTGAAGATAAAGGTTTGTTCCCCACTTTATGATCCAGTAACTAATATTTCTGAGTCACATTGAATTAACTGTATGTTTCCAATAAATAACTGCAAATAAGTAATGTCTTTAATATACACACACACACACATATATATATATATATATATATATATATATATATATATATATATAAATTCATTAATTAATGTGTGTATATTTGCCTATAAATATTTGACTGTTTATGTTGGCATATATACATTATGTTTGTATATATAAAGAAAGAAAGAAAACTACACACATGTTCCATATTTGAAAAGGACCAATTTAAAATACGTTTCTATATAATGGCACATGTGTAAATATGGTACATATTTTGCAAAATTGAAATTCTTAGATGCCAATATATCGCATGTATTGGAAATTCATGCATGTCTATATATCACATTTCCGTATGGGACAGCACTCATGCTTGCAAGGAAAAACAAACAAACAAACAAACAAACAAACAAAAAATACCAGGATAAACAGGCAGCCTTTCAGATGATTGAGCTTATAGCAAGGAAAGGTTCAAATATCACTTCAGAGATATGGAATTGTCAGATGAGCAAGATTATATAGAACATAATGCTGCATTATACCCTAAGTGGTAATTTGCAGTTCAGAATGACGTCATTTTTGACTGTGGCACGTTAGATAGATGAATTGGGAATCCAGACGCCCTCATGTACGTATTTGGTTATCGACAAGCTAGACAGCTATCTCCGATGAATGAGGTAGATTTTCCGCTCTCAAAACAGCGAATTGTATAGTCAGTGTTTTAGATTTAACAATGTCTGTATGATGATTAATTAATCCTAATATAACACATTTAATGGTAAGTTTCAGTTCGTTTATTTCTAGTGATGTGCGAAGAGATGCTGATTTGAGGTCACTCTGTATGCAGGGAAGGAACTCCGACTTCCCACTTCTGCGGTAAGTCAAATACAGCAATCGTCCTGACCATTAAAAAGCGCCTTCAGTGTAGACTCCTACCATGAATGTTAAATAAACGTCTCCTTCCAAAAATGCAACCAAGCCAACATGTTAAATAACGACACGTTTTAAACCAGTTCATTCATCATGATAAGTTGTTACTATAGCAGCTGAAACTACGGTCAGAGCTGCTGTTAGAGAAGATTAATCAACACCTTCTGATGAATCAGATTCCAGAATTCAATAGTGCTATAAATAAAGTACGACTAATGAGCCACATGCTAAAAGGAGGAAACATGAGATTCTTACAGTGACATAGACGGCCGAGTAGACGCTAAGTGAGGCGTCTTTGGACGGGAAGGATCTCCTGGCTCGCTCCACCACCACCCGGTTCCCTGTGCAGATGTTGCCATTGGAGATGAACTGGTGGTTGAGGCGGCACTCAGTGCCTGTGTAATTGGGCTGACAGACGGTGAGAAAATACGGTGCCAGGCTGCCCGTCACCACCTGCCCAGCATTCACAAAGATGTCTGTCGCAAACAGGCCAAACGCGAACACGCCTGTGGTGGGAAAATGCCAGCACATTCATTTTGTCTCGCTGCTATCAATCAGGAGTTGAGCAACACAGCCAAACAGATTAGAGATTCCCCCCCCCCCAACCCTTTCTGGATTTTATAGTTTCCATTGTAACTAGATTTTGGATTGTATAGTTTCCAATCAGATGCCATTGTCCCACTGATCAAGTTTAAACAAGCAACCAATTTAAGCAGGACTGTCAACAAACATTGAAAATTTGTTCAAAGGAGTTGTTTCTCTACCATTTAAATTCTTTTTTGACCTTGTGATACATGACATTATATGACTTCACTCCAGCATGAAACGGTAGACGTGATATAATTGGTGGAGCTTCTCACTGTCTACAGGCTGCCAATATGCTAGAAGATGAACGACTGATGACTACGACCACCGGGGGGGCTTAGTTGGTCGAAACGCTCACCCATTCCCCGCATCTATGCGCACAGGGCAAAAGGAATTGAATAGAATGGTCCACATCATTGCAATACCAGGCCACGGTGGACATCATTACCAGAGTCTCTTCTGAAATATGCATCATGGTCAAGTAATACTGTAGGACTAAGCTCTCTCAGACAGACCTGAGATGGATTTTTTTTTTTAGACGTGAAGCCACATCAAAAACTCCCAATCAATAGTCCTCAAGTATAGACATGCCAGAATATATTGCCAGGATTACACCAATCAGCCACAACACAAAAAAAAAAAGCAAAAAAACAGGTGAAGTGAATATCATTGATTAGCCCATTTTAGTGCCACCTGTCATAGGGTGGGATCTATTAGGCAGAAACTGAACAGTCAGTTCTCAAAGTTGAGGTGTCGAAAGCAAGAAAAAACAGGATCTGACCGACTTGGACAAGGGCCAAATTGTGATGGCTAAAGAACTGGGTCAGAGCATCTCCAAAATGGCAGGTCTTGAGGGGTGTTCCTGGTATGCAGTGGTTAGTGCCTACCAAAGTGTTCCAAGGAAGGACAACCAGTGAAGCAGCAACAGGGTCATTGAGGTCCATGCCTCACTGATGCATATGGGGAGTGAAGGCTAGCCTATCTGGTCTGATCAAACAGAAGAGCTACTGTACTGT